TATAATAAAATAATAAATTCAATCATGATAAAAAAATCTGTTTTGATTATAGGACAAAACCACAATGTTCACGTTAAATATATTTAAATTAATTTTAATAAGTACAAAAAGATAATGCTTAGCATTAATTTACATGTGATTATTAAGAATTTATTAAACAGCAAGCATAATGACATACTCAATAAATGTCAAATTATCTTACATACATAAAAATGTTTCCAGTTACAACAAGGTCACAAATTACAAACATATTAATTTCTGGTTTTCTCACACCAGAATACCTATAAGTATACTGTCAATCAAAAAATTTGCATTTTTACCGTACAAGAGTAATTGAAGTTTAGTACATAAGCTTTCTGGTGCACATCAATATATTGTTAATTTGAGTAAAGGGAAAACATTTTATTCTTTTTTTACTCTTCCAAACTTAGCAATGAAGCATGGAGCTTTCAAAGATTGTCATTCATTTTTTGTTTTTTTTTTTTTTGTTTTTTTTTTTGCTTTTAGGATTTTTGGATTTACCTGGTGATGCTCAGGGGTTACTCCTGGCTCCACACTCAGAAATTAGTTCTGGAGGTGCTCGGGGAAAACATATTGATGCTGGGATCGAATATGGGTAGGCTATGTGCCTAGCAAACGCCTACCCACTGTGTTATCGCTCCAGCCCTAGACTGTCATTATTATCCCCTATAAAATATCTATTTTGTTAAAGTTTACATCCTCAATCTGGCACACTTTGAAACCTGTTTTTTTAGCTATGTAAATGGTTCTTGGAAACAAATAGGGTACCTACCTTGAAATTAATCATGGTACAGGCAGACAAGATCAACAGAGTCAGTTATTCATGTATGGTAAAGTTTAATTGATGAAACTTGTGGATTAAAGTTAGGTTTTATTAGTAAGTTAGGTTTTATTAGTCTATTATTATATATTAATATAATGTAATATATAATATATTAATATATAATATAATATATAATATATTCATATATTAAACCTCTATACATACTATGTTATATTTAAAATAGTTCATTGCTTCAACTACTGTACTATTTATTTTTAAAAATGAAAAACAAATTTATAAACCTTTTCTCTTAAAATAAATTGGTGTCATTTTGTTTTGATTTTCTATTTCAATTTTTTTACAAAAAAAACTTTGTTGGAATTACTATACTACATTTATCCAATAATATAGCATTGCACTTGACAGCATGTTATAATAAGGAAAGATATCTAAAACAGTGTAACAAACTGAAATTTTCACACCAACTAATCTAATTCAACATTTGCAGTCCTCCCAAATTAACATTTATTTGTGGTCATTTTAGACTTCTTTATGTAGTTATTTTCAACAAAGTGATATCAGTGTAAAATTCTTGAAGTCCAGGGTTTCAATATCATGAAATAAAAAAAAATACAGTAAAAAAACGCATCTTTCTAATACATAAACCGGCAAAAAACAAAAAAGAAGTACTTTTTTCTTCTGTGCTTAATCAGCTATTAGCATTTTATATAATTACCTATGTCATAAGCAATTGTCATTAACTATAAATTTAAAAAGATTCATTAAGTATTAATTGAAAATGAAGATTCAAGATTTACTCAATAGCCAATGTTTGTGAATAGTTTCACAGAAATGGATTCTTGATTGCTAAAAAGTTTAGTGATTAAAAAAAATGTTGTATAGAAAAGTGGGTGGTGGATATCTTATTAGATATGCTTTCCAGGGCATCATATAAATATGGATTAATGAAAAGAACATTTTTTTAAGTTTGCCTACAATAAATTTTAGGCCAGTGTGTTGATGGAACTATAGAAATATAAACTAGAAGTTCAAGATCACATAATAACGTTTGTAAATAGTTCAGAATGAGGTAATAAAGGCAAAGTCTTGGAATATTAACTAGCAGGTCATGAGATATCTATGAAAATATTAAAAAATATTTCAATTAAAAAGGCATAAAACTATTCTTTGAATATAAATGAATAATGTGACTTGGTGTTCTCAATCAACCAACTTGATAGACCCTTTAAGAATCCTCCAATGAGAACACTGGAATTTAAAAATAAAGTTTCTATTCAAATTTAAAAAAGATTGTGATGTAATCTTTAAATAATGGCTCAAAGTAATCAACAGTATCTAAGAAAAATGCTTACTTTCAAGACTGGAGCGATAGAACAGTGGGTAGGGAGCTTGCCTTGCACACAGCCGACCCAGTTTCTATTCCCAGCATCCCATATGGTCCCCCGAGTACTGCCAGGAGTAATTCCTGAGTTCATGAGCCAGAAGTAACCCCTATGCACTGCTGGGTGTGACCCAAAAAGCAAAGAAAAAAAAAGACTGACTTTCTTTATATGATGGGTTATCTAGTCATTTGTATGGATCTAGACTCAATACAAAGTAATAAATGTTCTGGACTTACTGAAAAGTTATTCACTAGACTTAGTAAATTGCTAGTGTAGTAAGAGTTATATTTGAGATTGAATCCATTAATAAAATTGTTTAGTTTCATAAATTTGTTTGAACTTCTCAAAATGTCTATTCCTGGAAAAAAGACAAATACACATTCAGACAAACATAATCACAATTCTGAACATATAAATCTGAGGGGCAAGAGAGCTAGTATAGCATGTAAGACATTTGCCATGCACGCTGCTGACTCAGATTTGATCCTCCATATTCCATATGGTCCCTGGAACACTGTCAGGAATAATCCCTGAGCACAGAGCCAGGAGTAAGCTTTAAGCACCACCAGTTGTGGCCCCTAATCTCCCCCACTGCAAAAAAAAGAAACCTGAATTATTTTTTCCTTCTAGCAATATAACTGATGTTCAATACTAAATAGAACATACAGAAGGTGGTTTGAAGTGGAATATACAGTTATGTACAGAAGAAAAAGGGGTCAAGAATATAGTTCAATGATAGCATCTATGTTTCGCATGTATGAGATTCTAGATTTTATCCCAGTAGAATATTCTTGAATTAGATGGACAAACCATAGTATTTCAATGATGTAAAATTCAAAGCCAGTGGTTAATAATTTGAATGTTTAATTATTTAAAAAGTATAATATAAACTTCTTACAGACTAATTTCCAATGATAACCTTCCCCAAATACTTTTGTAAGACTTTATCTTATTTAGGTATTTTGATCTATATGCATATCTGGATAGAATTGTGACTTTAAGTATTTCTGCAATATGTACGTATAATTTCACCTTTTCCTCAGAAGACAATGAATCAATGTGTCACTCAGTCTACTGGTAACATACTTATGTCTTTAAGAAATTTTCCAATTTGGGTATTTCATTGTTTTGGAGGTTCTAAATTTATCTTACGATGTCTGAAGATGAGTGCTTAAATGCTAATGGAAAATGTTAGCATATTTTATATAAATGCTGATATCACAAAATTATGAATATCAAATAATAATACTATTTATTTCACTTTTAAAACATGAATTTAATGGATAAAAATAATATAATGTGGTTTCTATTGTAATATGTGTTTATTAATAGCATCCTGGTGCTCAAGCATATAGTTAAATAGAACCGCACACAGATGTAATAGGATCAACATATTCAATTAACCTATTAATATAATCTCATATTTTAAATTCAGTAATAAATATTTTGGAATTTCATGGAAATTATCTTAGGACATTTAAATATAGAAAATTTGAAACAAAACTTCCTCATACAAAATGAATCATATTTTTCTTTTTTTTTTCTTTTTTGGGTCACACCCAGCGATGCACAGGGGTTACTCCTGGCTCTGCACTCAGGAGTTACTCCTGGAGGTGCTCAGGGTACCATATGGGATGCTGGGAGTCCAACCCGGGTCAGTCGCATCCAAGGCAAATGCCCTACCCGCTGTGCTATCTCTCCAGCCCCAGAATCATGAATTTTCAGATGAGAGGTTTCTCCCCTTGCCATCCCATTGGACTGGTCACAGGCTACACTGTAATATCTATTGATACAATCCTTTTGGGACTTTGGTGGTCTTCATAATCTATGATAATATTAGGACAGAGTTCATCTTGCTCAACCAAGAATTATCAGGTTCACATTAACGTATGAGATACACACTCAAAAGAAAAACATTAACTGAATAATAGTTTCTCTGTGTTTTAAAAATTAATTATATCTACTGGAGAAAAATAATAGGGGAGAATGTAGAGACAGTCTGAACAAAACAGGAGCATGGTTTCAACAGATGAGCCAACACTGTCATAACATACCATGTATTTTTAGTGTATATTCTTATGCACTTATAAATAGTTCTTACTGCTAGATCAGTATATGTGTACCCAAAATTAAACTCTTAATAAAACTGAATATACTTTACTCATTCAGAAATTCAACTAAATTCTCTGAATGTGTATAAATGGAATTATCCCAAGACTGTCAAAAATTAGAAAATGAAATAATATTGAATAAATATTAACTAAGTCATAGAAATAGTTATACAGGAATGACATTCTAACATTTGCTCTATAGATGCAATACTATCAATACTTTGTATAGAACACAACCCTTTGTCAATTTTCCAATGATTAAAAAACTGGCTAAAGACACTCCTATCCTATATTTAAGCATTTCCTAGAAAAAAAATCAGTGATAAATTCATCTTTACTGTGGGTCTTTATAATGATTAATGGAAGGGGAATTTATTTTTTAAAAGCCAAGATTCTTTAACTTAAAATACTTTTTTATTGCATATCCTTCTTTTCTTGACAAGATCAAAAGCACCCTGTTATTTATCTAAGCTCTAAAAGATTAGAAATTGCATTAGGAAAAGCACAATGAGCTTAGAGGGTAATCATAGTAAAACATACTGCACATTATCAGAAAACATTACTGCAAGGGTGTCATTAAACTCAAAAAACATTTTAATAACTCAAAATAAAAATAAAAATTCAATAATATTTCTGGTCAATCTATTATCCAAGTTAGTAAGGCTAATGCTTGCAATATAGATACAACCCTTTGCCCAAGGCAGAGATGGGTCTTGTCTTTTATTCAACACAAGTGCTATTTTCAATTATTTTTTTACATATGAATGTTTGTCAATTTGTGATAAGAACAAGCTATTAGGGACCAATGAAGAACTCAAATCAAAATAATTTTCAGTATCTAATAATGCATACCACTCAGAGTGTTTTAATTGCTTGCCTTCAAGCACTTTATACTTCCTTTATGCTACTGCATATTTTCCTAAACTACACAGAAGAGCTACGCTTTATTTTAATGTGTAAAAATGGAATACTTTCTTTTTCAATGCATCGATAAATTGAATATTTAAAACTATTTAGATTACATAAAAGTTGTCAGAAGGGAATTTATTTTGTTATGGACTGTGGTTATTGTTCGTGCAGGAATTTTTAATGTCAAGGCCATCTTCACTGAAAATTCCTTTAATAAGATGCAGTTTGTGACCCTGGTGTTGATATAATCATGCAATACACATACAGAATTACATAAAGACAAAATTTAAAAAAATCAAATGAGGCAAAGGAATAGAAATTCTGTTGTGATTTTGCTTATTTTCATAATATATTCATTTTATTGTTTTTATGAACATACCTATTTATGCACTATACTGAAATACTGTACAAAACTTCAAGAAAGGTCACTATTTGACTACTTTTTTCTACAAAATCACCATCATTAAGGTGTATCTAGTAGTAAAAGTCAACTGATAACTGCTAATGTATATGTGAGTCAAAAGGATTTTGGTTTGTTTGTCGAAAACACTGAACCGGGGATGAGACACAATTGTTAAATTTATTAATATATTTCAGGGGCATAAAGAATATCTTTTAATATATTAAAAGAAGTGTGAATTTTACACATTTGCCATTAGAAATTTTATAAAATTGGAAATTGTGGTTTCTAATTCAGTTTCTAATTCAGTTACCTTTGTGTGTCTTTTCTAATTTAGCTAATTGTGTGTTCACATGTATGTATGTGTTCATGTTTCTGCCTATTATCTAATCCATTATCTGTGATACTTTAAAATTTCAATTTAAAAATGTTCAACTCTTACCAAAACCTCTCCTAGTATACAAAGCTGTTGTAAATTTGAGTCAACAAAATTTAAAGTTGCAATTTACAAAAGCAGATTTACATTAATTCTTATCTGAGAGACCAGCTTTGAAGAAAGAAAAATGTGCCAATTTACTACCCTTTCCTTTATAATTAGTGGCTTCTAAATCCTGATGAGAAGAAGCCTTAAGGCAGAATTTTGAGTAAACAGGAAAGAAGAGAATTGTATAAGTGCTGAGTCAATATGTTGTGACACCTATGAATTCTCATCAGTGGGAGTTTTTGGCACACTTTTCTAATCCAACATGAACACTGCTCCATTGAAGCCATGCTGGGTGCTTTCTCATCTCCAGCACCAAAAAATTTAACTGATCAATTTCAATGCAATACCTACCTCGAAATAGTTAAGACACAGCTGTCATTTTATTTTCCGTTGAAGGTAGTTTCCAATAACTAAAATAATTAATTCGATTTTGGTGATTACCTTTTCAAATAAATCCTTATATTAAAAGTGTAATGACTATGACATTCCAATATTGATTAAATTCTAGACATAGTTAACTTTCTGTCAGTGTTGATTCATAATTATTTGAGCTGATCATGCTGTAATATGTACATGGCTATCAATACTATACAGAGTAATTAAAAGCTGATTTGAAAACTATTATTTTTTTGATGTGTGCCAAGCTTTCCAATTATATCAGCAGGGATTTGGTGCACTCAGGAAGGAAACTGATGTTGCAGATATGAGGTTCTGTTATGTAAAAGAATTCCTTTTGTGATGATGATGTTATTTTACATTATATTTAGGTAATAGTAAAACAAAAATACTCCTATTTGAGAAACAAATGCAAAGGGCCCAAAAAAGGTAGTATAGGATCCCCATTTTCATCACTGTTAAAGGAGAGGAAATCAATCAGCTCACCTGAAAGTCACTTTCGACTATTCCCTAGGGCAAAGCTTTTTTTTTTCTTTTTTTAAAAAGAGGCAATGGCTCTCTTAGCATAGGGCACTTCCTGCCTATGGTGCCATGACTTAGCAAAGGTCTATCTCCTTGAGACGTCTAAGGTAAGCTATATCACTATATACATACTGTACATGTTGGTTCTCAGATTAGCAGTTATTAGTCAGACCCTATATAGTAAAACAAACCGAGTTTAATGGTGCTATATATCCCCAAACAGCCCATGTTTCCATTCAAGGACTGACCCCTAATACAGGTTCCCTGTTTAAATATGTAGCCCAGTAAACTAAATTAAATGTACCAAACAAAACTGGAAAAACTATTCTAGACATTCTGTCAATTTTGCTAACACTGTTGAAAGTTTTCTTGGCCTCAGCTGGCTTGTTCTCTGGCTTCTTGTTCGGTTCTGGAGTGGTTGCACTCTTGGAAATGGTGGAGAGAACTGGGTCTTTTGAAAGATTTGGAGCATAATTTGCCACAGCCACGGCATACGCATTGTTCTGTATCACCACAGTAGTCTTTTCTTTTTTCTATTAAATGGAAAATACAATAATGAACAAAATGTGGGTTTAGGATACAAAAATCAACAAAATGTTCTGCCTATTTAACATTTCTCAAACTCGAATTCCGAAGAATATTAACCTAACAAGATTATCTAGGAAAATAAAAATAAAAGTAGTTTATTAAGTTTTAAAACGTTGAGGGTCAGAGCCCCACAACTAAATCAATGGAAGAATTTTCCTAGGGAAACTTTTATTGGTACATGAAAAAAATACAGAATCTTAATAAATGATGTGTTTTTAATCATTACCCATCACAGATATTCATGTTGAATGAATAAGCACATCAATAAGAGAACAACAGAAATATCTTAATTAGAGGAATAATCAACCCAATGACCTAAAACACTAACTAAACTTAATTTCTTCAGCTTGATTAGATTTCTCCCACTCATGTCAAAACCATAGCTGTATTTACATGTGGAAAAATTATCACCATGTACAGATAACAAGGTAACACAAATATTTAGAACATAAAAGGAAAGTTAAACGCAAACTATTAAAGTTTTTTACCAGCTCATCCAAAATTTATTTCCTTATAGTCCTGATTTGTTTCTCTGTTCTAGGTTGGCTTACTACTTTCTCCTAATTTGAACTAATATATACTGCACTATATTTTTTCCGTTTGGCTTGACATCATTCAATCATTGGACAGACCCCCATCGCAGAGAGTTTATATTCACATAGTTTTCTCTGCTTAAATCATAAAAATAGTGCTTCCTAGAACATAGGAGAAAATCAACACTTTCACTATGGTTTCTTTCTTTGTAGATATTTCAAATTTAAAAAATAAAAACAACTGGAAGGCAAATGTGAAGAATGAAGATCAACTATCATCATATTTTCTGTTAAGTAGGCTTTTAATACCTAGCAACAGATGAACGATATTTCTTACCTGAATTTTTATCCATTATAGGTATTAGACACGTCTAATTATATATCTCACAAATAATTAAAACACAAAATAGCCAGATACATTTATTTTCAACCTCAATCCATATACACTATATGGCTATATTTATTCTCAACCTCAATCCATATATACTCCTGTATTCCTTAGCCTATGAATAATACTACAATTGAGTACAAAACCAGTAATAAACCTACACTAATCTTTATGTAAGACATATTTTAGGCTGAAAAGATAGGACTTCCTTCTGTGGAAATGGTGCTTCTTCAGAAAATGTCTCCATGGAAATCTTTTTAAAAGTTCCCTGAAGGCACAGAATGCATTGCAGAACTTGTAACACAGATGCTTTCAGAGAGAAATCTCAGAAAACAAGTACTTGGCCATAACCATGCCACTGGACCCTGCATCAGGCTGTTTTACTTGGGACGCTGGGAGGGGAGCAGGTGAGAGCCCTTCCCGCCCAAGGGACCCACCTCCGGCAGCCGAAAACCTCCAGAACTCAACCGCCGCCACACTCAAGGCCACTTTCCACATGCTCAGGGGAGCCTCACGCACGAGTGAACATATCCCTGGACCGCGTGATAAGTCATATCTCATACCACCCCATATTCCAAGAGTACCGCACCACATATATTGGGGTTTAAAGTAGGAGGCAACAAATATTAGAGGGAATTTTTTTACAAATATATATATATAACCCATATATAACATATATATATATTTGTTTTATATATATATGTTTTATATATTACACAAGGCTCAACCTTTAACAACATGTTAGTGATCTCTTATAGAAGTGCTTAGTAATTCCAGGGTGAAATACAACAATCTTTACATTCTTTCCTCTAGGTAAACTTTTTAGGAGCATTTTCAGCGATTTTTCATAACAAACAGTACAAATTAAATTATTTCGGTTTTGCTTAGGGGCAGGGGTTGGGGTTCAGGATAGAAATATCTGAAATATGGTGGTGGGATGGTGCAATGGTGGTGGGATTGGTGCTCGAATATTAAATGTAATCAAATATTGTGAACTACTTTATAAAATAAAATAATTAAAAAGTAAACATGTACTTAATGATAAATGATATATAGTAGAAAATTTACTTTGTTTGAAAATATTTCTTGTAGAATATATACACAAAATCTGGTTGTTTGATTAATAAAATGTGTTTGTTTATTTTAAATTTTATGTAACAAAGTCATCATTTCATCATCTATAGATGTAGGAGACTTGGAAATAATAAAATAGAATCAATGTATGTTTGTGATGCTGCTTTGAATCTCTTTTAAGTGGGGAGGGTAATTAGGTCTTATAAACAAAATCAATAAATGGTCTTCTTTTATATGCTACCTGGGGGAAAGCAGTAAATTATGCCACTATTGAAATTGTTGATGCAGTTAAGTGAGGTGAAAAGGAATTATAACTAATTGCATTTTTAATAATTTAAAAATTATTTTTGTTTAATTCAGAATATTCTGAGATTATAGTTTATTAGAATATTCATTTTGGCTTTCAAATCTGGAAAATCCCTGAAATAAGAATGCTTTATACCATCGTAGCAAATAATCTTTTCTTCCTTACAATATCAGATATTGTGAGTTGTTAATTATTTGAGCATTAGTGAAGTTTCTTGGCATATAAAATGAAAACAAAACTCATACGGTTTGATAGTTCCAAACAATCTCAGGGATTGTAATTTAGAATAAAGAAGTGGAGCTTTTAATCCCCAGTTGCACAGTGGCAACTGTGCACTTCTTTTACATACCACATTGCTTTCTGCAATTATTTTTGGCTATTAGAAAGCCCATTATTTGTAAAACAACTGGTACTGTCAGAAATTGCTATTTCTGACAATTCTGTCAGCTAACCATCCTAAGAAAAGAGGTGCTTCCAGGAGACTGAAGGTTATAGAATCTATCTACTTCTCGAAGCACTTTAGACTTGGTTAAATTGAGCCATGAGAAAGCTAAACACACGGACCATATTAGCTTAGCTCCTTAAAGAATTGCCTTCACATGAGTTGTACATTAAATGTAATGGATTCAGCTTTTACTGAAGGGAACTACAAGAAACATCAATATGAAATTCATTACTGTTTTCATTGGGAAAACGTTGTATTTCTTGTAATAGTACCCATAATTCCCTAACATAAAACCTGATGATATTTTGGAGAAATTCAGGGTAGGAAAATGATCTGAGAAAATTTATACTATTTTTTGGAGGGGTGCTGAGGAGTTGGTAAGTGGGCACACCTGGCAATACTTAAAGTTCGCTCAAGCCTCTTTGCTCAGGGATCACTTCTGGCAGCGCTCAAAGGGCCATAAACAGTGCCAAGTATTGAATCAGAGTTGGCTGCATTCAAGGCAAGCATCTTAACCACTGAACTATCATCTCTCAGGCACCCTCTAATTTCATTTTTTGATAAAGAAAAGTGACTCTCTACTCCCATCCCTCATGGTTTACTTAAGTTAGATGCTTAAAATCCGAAGCTCAAATACTCTAGCACGGAGTACAACTAATGTTGTGACCCAAATAGTGGACATACTTGCAATCAGTTTTCTTTATCCTGATATCCTATTCTATTTGTACTTCATTTTGTAATGGATGCAAATGCAGTCTTTTGGTAAGCTGCGCGAAATGCTTTTGGAACAAGCAAAGATGGTAAAAATACACAGAATGACCTCTCTGTAGGATATAAAGAAATATAGTAGGAGAATAACAAATGCTCAAAGGCAAGAGAAGAAAGAGAGCAGGAAAACTGGTTTTCAGTAGGAAGCTTAACACTAGGGTGCTTTGGGGGGTTCTATGGGAAGGCAATATAAAGACAATGGTGGAGGGGTAAAGTATTTGCATTAGAGGCAGGCTGGGGGATGGGAGGAACAACAGACATTGGTGGAGGAAACTGGACACTGCTTAAGGGCTTGGTATTGGAACACTGTATACCTGAAATTTACTCATGAATAATTCTCAACTTTGTAATTCACGGCAACTCAATTAATTTAAAAAATATATATGAATAAATCTAAAAAAATATTTTTAACAATTTGCATGAAAAAAATCACAAACATTTCATGTTAATTTAACTATGATGTTGCTATCCCTCTACTTTAAGGAAGCCAATAATCAGTGTTTTCACAAAATATCCTGGGTCAGTGCAAAACCAGTAACTCTGACAAATGAAAACAATTTCAAAACATTAAAGTTATTTGTTTTTAATTAAATTAAATTAAATTGTGTGCCAACTGCTCTTCTAGATAATGGAAGAGAAGATGATGAATAATAAAAAATAGCCATTATCATCTCATATCATATATTCTAGCATTAAAAATAGATTTGTTTAAAATAAAATTATAATTCGATCATGTTACAGTAAAGGAATTTGTGCCACATACACTAACATATTAGGAAGTGATAACTTAGGTTCATTAAGAAAGTTCCAAGATTAAGTAAAATGAATTTGAAGAAATAGGTAGTTCCTCAGTTAAGAAAGGAAGGAAGGGAGGAAAAAGAGGAACATTTTAGCAAGAGATATGGGCACATCAAAAAGTATATGGATTATGTGGAGGCACTGATATTTGGTAATGTTTCTAATTGCTAGAGGAAGAATATGAACATGCACTTTAGATCTTGGTCAATGTTGTAGAGACTATTGCACATATAGTGTCATTTGTGGGGCTGGAGAGATAGTGCATCAGATACGGCCTTTGCCTTAAATGTGGCTGACCTGGGTTTGATCTCCTTGACCTCAGATGATTACTTGAGCCTTGAAAGGAGTGATCCATGAATGCAGAGCCAGGAGTAAATCTTGGGCACTATTCAGGATGGCCCCAAAATAAATAAAAAATAAGTAGTATAATACAAACAGCTCTAAGCTCAGGGATCACCTTTCTCAGTGCAGGAGGACCATATGTATCACTAGGGGTCAAAACTGGGAGAGACAAGCAAATTGCCCCAGTACTGTTTCCTGTTTCTCAAGGACAGATTAGATTTATTTCTACTTTTGAATTTACTGAGTATCTGGGTACCTGAAATGTAAAGGACCAAGAATAAGCAATTTAT